TCAGGTCCAACCTTTGGCTTTCACGGCTTTTTCCCCTTTGAAGGGGAGCCTTGGCATAACTGGTAAAGTTGCTATCATGTGACCAGCAAGCAGGTCACGGGTTCGAGCCATGAAAACAACCTCTTGCAGAAATACAGGGTAAGGCTGCGTACAATTAGACTCTTGTAAGGCTGTCCTTTTCCTTTTTTTAATTAACCCAAAAAGTTTCTCAAGTTGAATTTCTAAACTGGGCTATTATGATCCCTAAAATTCCTCTTGGATTACGATCAAACTACAGAGCGGCCCCTTTCAAGTTCAACCATCAGCAATCTGCAGGCTATTATACTTACACCGTATGAACATAGTATCCTTGCTAAGGTTTGCCAAACCATCATATTAAGAAAGGTACCGGCTCTCTCTGCTCTGACTCAAACATTTTCGTCCCATGCACTCCATCTTATGGCCCCTAACTTTCCCCTTTTATTCAGATATGAGATTTTCCTAACGTAAGCCTCGTGGGGAACCTCTTCGATTCAACTGTCGATCCATAGGCTACTACAATCCCGAAGGCCCGGACACAAAAAAAAAAAAAAAAAAAAAAAAAAACTACAAAATACAGAAATTTGCTCACTTGCTTATGCGTTCCTTGGAGTCTCAATGACATGTCCTTCAATACCTAAGACTTTTGCATGACATCATGAGAAGGTCCTGTGATCTGCCCATAAATAAATATGAATACATATATATAAATTAAGTGTTTACATATATGAAAAATCAGACATTTGTTCTCATTAAAATTAAGACCAAATATTCAAATTTGGGAATATATATATATATATATCTCTCTCCACAAACAGAAAGAGCTCTAAAGGTGTAAAATTAAAAAATTGGTTTAGATCAAAGAACAATCTTACAGCGACGTCATTCACCTCATCAAATTGCATTCACACAATTCCTTTTTTGGGCAACTTTCCTTTTCCTTTTTTCTTGTAGCTGACAGATTCAAACGAGGTAGTTGACGAAGAAATGGATCCGATCATGAATTTTACCGCTTCATTTCTTTTTGTATTTTTATATTTTTAATTTGTAATTTTAGATTTTTGTATTATTCTTCATTGACATTTGTTATTTGCATGGATATTATGCAAAAACAAGTTGAATGTCATCAGGCGACTTACAAGTACTATATGAACCCAATTATCTTTTTTCTGAAAAACCGTTTTGTTCAGAATATTAAAATGTGATATAACAAATATTTGAAATAATCTATCTATCTATACTATATTAAAAGTGGGAAGCCCAAAACTAAAAAGTTAAATTTCTAAAATAACCTTTGAATAAAAATATAATTTAAAAAATACCTGAATGATATTTATTTATATTGTGTCCTTTCTAAATAGTTGTGTTTATTCATTAATAATTATTTTTCCAAGAGGAAAGAACTACTTATCCAAAACAAAAACAAAAAGTAATCGATGACTTGATTCGAAGGGTTGTATTCCTTCGTAATAAGAAAATAGATTTTTCAAATGTGTTCCTTCACATTGATCAATCACACGTCATGGTAACAATCTAAACTAAAAACGAACAATTGAATCAATTATGAGGTGGATTTCCTTATGCTTATCCTCTTTCTTTCGTGCGAATAGGTATGTATTTGCTCTACTATTAAATTGTCTATAACTTACAACTCTCTTCTATAGAAGTATTTGTAGTATTGGCACAACTAATATCATGCGGACACTAATATGTAAATTAAAGGTTACTACCGATTTTTAACGTCCAGAATCAATATATGTTATAATTGTATTTACTTTAAGAATTAAACTTACATTTGTTCAACCATTGCTGAATGGTTAAATTTATTTAGAGGCTTTCATTTGAAGTAAATAAAAGATATGAGAAAAATACTTTTTCTTAAAAAACATTATGTGATTCTTCATTAACGTTGAAGAATATTTTTATTCTTCTTTCTTAAACTTATATTTCAATTCTAATTTTTTTTCCTTGAGTTCTAATGGTAGAAGAAATTATCAAAGAATATAAATTTAGTTTTATTAGTAGGCATTATATCCTGAGTATCTAATTTCCGTCATACCATTTTCGCAGTCTAGGGAAATTACTATCCTTGGTAAAAGAGCTGCTTGTTGGGTTTTGGATGTATTTAATTAATATATTAAATACTTAAAAGAGGGTGAATGGGAAATGGAGGGAAATGAAATTTTTGAGTGAAATTTTAAGTTCCCCCCTTGGCAAATGGGCATTGTCCCATATTGGAAGAGGAAGAGATTTTTTATGGGTATATAAGCAATTGCTCTTCTTCTAGCTCTTAAAGAGTTGAGAAGAAGGCAAGCCTCGCGCCGCCGTCGTCGCTCGCTCGTTCGGCTCGGCTTCGGCTTCGGCTTCGGCTTCGGCTTCGGCTTCGGCTTCGGATTCGGTCAAATGATCGATTGATTGATTAACTTTTTGGACTAAATTTATTTGTTAATAGTAAAATATTAACAGAAATGTTATTAAATATTTGTTTTAATAACAAAATATTAATATTAAATCCAATCCGTTTTTCTGTTTTGGTAACAGAAAAGTAACTACCCTCTTCAATTTTCCCTCTTGCACCTCTTCAGATTTCAGCCCAACTTTGGCTATAAATACAACACTATTCTGCTCAGAATTTCACTACGATTTTCTGAGTTTCTTCTCCTTCTTCTGCATACTTTTATCATCAAACAAAGCAAAAAGTAAGTGTGATTTGCTACCGAATTTTGTGTTCGCTGAAACGCTGGGGTTTGAAGTACCACTACACCAGTGTGTAATTCGTTCTATCCTGGGAGGAAATAATCCATAACCTTGGGTACTAGGAGGGGATTAAATTCCTTAAGGAAACACTGTGAATTCAGTAGGCTCGAATTGGTTTTATGTCATTTCTGTTTATGTCCATTTCTGTTTATATTCATTTATATTTCCAGAATTATTTTATAAATACAGTATACTAACACTGCTTACATTCCTTCACATTCTAATTAAAATTCTTTACAAATTTCACTTTAAGATATTTTTCAACATTGCAAGTGGTGGTGGAAACGTGGATGTTAGTTTGCAGTAACATATTGGTAATATTATCCACTAATCACTACTATTTTAATTCGGAAGAGGCATTACGGCTTCCGAAAAAAATATTTGATCTATATTTATTTTTTGAGGTAAGATAATTTTATTGCCTTAATAAAATAACTTTAAAGGTCTCTTGAAGAGTCATAAAATTGTTTACTCTACTTTGAAAAGAGAGTGCGACAATTTTGATTTTGAATGGATAATATTTTAGTCCTTGAACAAAAGTTTTAGTCTTCCTTTGGTACATAAATTTTGAATAATTAATTTCTTTATGCACATTTTATGATTTCATTTTTTTAAGATAATATTTGGTTTAAGTTTTAAAATAAATATTTGAAGTTAAAGTTGAAGTTGGAAAGAAGTTTGAAATTTTGTTTGACATAAATTCCACTTGAATAAGAAGTTAAACTTTTGTGAGTGACAAATTACTTCATATGAGATAATCAAACAAAACTTTAGCTTCAAAATTTTCTACTTAAAAGTGAAGTTGAAATAATAGATAAAATTATAAAATAAATATTAATTTGCAATTAAGGTGTGCTCAAATACCTTTATAAATCAAATAAAAATTCTTAAGTCTGCATATGCTAAAAATTTAATGTTTTGCAATACAAAATTTATGAAAATGATATGAGATAAACGTGCGACGCACGTTCAGAGAGACTAATAAAAGAAATATGTGTCATAAGCTAAAATTTCAAAGAAGTAGTGCAATAGCAATAAACTTTCTTGAAAGACCATTATATTATAAGAGACTCTATACAAATTCAACAAAAATGATGAACTTCTAACGAATAAGAATTACAATATCAGAGTTCAACAAAAAAGATAGAAACTACTAGCAAACCAACAAATTGCTTCATCAGCATATACCATTTCATTTTTCTTCTATTCAATTGACCAACACTAGATTTTTCTTTCTAATGAAATATCAAACCAAATGCAAAACGAGGTACACGTACAAAATCAAGTACATATTAGTTTTCTTTGATTCTCATATTTAAACCAAGCACGGAGACACACACACACACACACGACACCTCCCCTTTTTGTTCTCTTTCTCATATTTTGATGGTTTTAGTTAGTTTGCTAGTTTTACACTTCCTTTAATCTTATTATTTTCCTGCTGGTTTACTTTCGTGTTGCTAATACAGGGAAGCAAATATTAGCTTTATAAATATCAATTTCCAACAGCAACATTCTCAAGCTTCAAAGCAAGCATCTAGCAAGTAGTACGGTTTCGGATAATAGTTGAGATCCTTACACAAATAGCCAGTTGGATTTACTGTTTATTTTATCTAGCCGGTATACACTGATTATATATGATTATACGCATATCATATATAAATTATACATATATTAATATCTGTCGGCTATTTTTAACTTAAGTAGTTGAGTAAGCGACTATTTAAGTTAATTCTTCTTAATAGTTTGCCCTGGCCAAAATCTTGTAGAGGGAATCAGTTAAACACTTGATCTGCTTGAACAAAGAGGATGTGACCGATGGTTGGACAGGAGATAACAGACTCATGACAGCCTGTTTGGCCAAGCTGCAAAATCAACTTATTTTGAGAAGTACTTTTTTTCAAAAGTGCTTTTCTCAAAAGTACTTTTGGTGAAAAGCAGTTTGTGTTTGGCTAATTAATTTGAAAAGCACTTCTGAGCAGCAATTAGTGTTTGGCCAAGTTTTTAAAAAATGCTTCTAAGTGTATTTTTATCAAAAGTGCTTTTGGATAGAAGCTAGTTTTTTCTGCTTCTCCAAAACTGCTTCTACTTCTCCTCAAAAACACTTCTTTTTTTCTTCCAAAAGCTTGGCCAAACACTTCTAACTTTGAAAAAGACGCACTTTTTTTGAAGAAAAAAAGTGCTTCTAGGACTGGAGAAACTTGGCGAAACAGGCTATCACTATGTTGCAGAAACATATACTTCTGATAACCAATACTATATTAAAAGGAATACCCTTGCAAAAGTTCCTACCGTTGTCAATACCTGCAACACTAACCTGCAGTCTGAACGAAACTACAATTCTCAGCTAAACCATCAGCTTGTAAATCCCCCACTGCACTTAAAAAATCTTTTAAACTGCTTTGTAGGCATATCTATACAAGGCAAAATTGAATCCTTCTTGGCCATCCTTTACGCTTGAAAATTTGAAGGATGAGAATTTTACACCAAATATGGGATTCACCCTCTGTAACCATCACATCCTGACTCTGTGGTTACATCAATAGGGCAAGATCCAAGCCAGAATGATGTAAGACAATGATGGCACCGGGAGAATATGAGAGTTACACCATGGCCTGCAACTCTGCAACTAGCAAAATTTCGAACTTCCAACTATACGAATATGGCTTCAAATTTTGCACATGGGTGGCTTTGAATGTAATTCTTAAACTCAGTATCCCCGTTGAATCTGAAGGAAAACAATGCTTGTCTCTGTGTCAAGCCAACAGGATATACTTTGTAAAGTTTGAGTTCATCACCACCATGTAGTACTTGAGGTCTTTCCTCCTTCCAAACAGGAACATGTTTAACAGACTTGAACCTCGAGAGGATGGCAGATTCAAATGCCTTTATTGACAAATTACTCGACCTGCACAGATATAGAAATTAGGGTGATTCAGAGTTTATATCAGAGAGATAAGGAAAGCTCTGACGAGAAAACATTAAAAGAAGGGAGGATGCTTTGCAATTTAACAGGAGGAGAATTCCTGGACAGAATTCAAAAGATATAATGGGGGTGCAGGAAGTCATAATGAAGAAAATTGGAAGAATTTTCAAAAATTCAAATGAAAAAGGTTCAATTTCCTTTCCTTTAGTTTCTTTACTCCGAGAAACTCAAAAGCAACTACCCACTACATCAACTTTCAGGATCTTCCTGCTTCAGCCTATGAATCAATCAGAAATGATTTTACACAGATTGATAGTGTCTCTATGGTGTTACCCAACCACAAATCTCTTTTCCTCTTTTCATGTTGAAACACTTTCAACCCCTTAGACTATCGACTCTTGGCCAAGATATCATGTAGTATTTCACATGCATTCATTGTAAATAAGAGCTCCGCTTTCAGCTTTACTTGTCGGAATCTCTAGGAGAAAAAAGAGGAATTATTTGATCACACAGTTGTACAGATGGAGGAGACTGGAAGGCCCAGCAGAAGCTGCAAACTCTCGGGTTCTACTTTTAGCTCTTGAACATGAAAATAATCACGCAGCTTGGTAAGAGGGAACAGACAAAGGTAAAAGTAGATGATAGCTTTTTCAAGTTTCTTGGACAAGAAGACAACGGACATGTGGACAGAGAAAGAGTCTACCCCATCCCAAATGAATTGAAAAGCACAGAAAATTTCCCGATCTAGACATCTAAAATGTTATTTCCTCATTAAAAAATCAAAAACATTGTTCTTTGTCTGGTAGAATTCAGGAGAACATATCTCAAAAATTGTCATCCACTGAGTGATTGAGTGCTAAACAACAGCAAAAGAAGCTAAAAGAAATAATAATATAAAAGCAGTTGAACTGATAGGAAAAAGTAGATGCATATCTGCCTCGAACATATTCAGAAAATATACTTTGATATTCTTTTTAACAAGTCAGGAAAAATTTGCTCAGACATTCACGGTCAGAATTCAGTAACTGGAGATTAAAATACCTTAAGAAAATGGAATCCATCTCAAACCTCCCTCTTTCACGTACATATACATGATAGACAGTTTCAGTCCCTCTGGTACATTTGCAGGGGCGCTTCATAAATTTTGGACTATGCTCTTCTCTTTCCTGGATCCTACTTGCCAAGAAGATGCACAAACGACAAGATGAATGAACTGCTGCCATATCAACCAGGGCTTTGAAGGCATCAGATGGGCCCTCAAACTTCCACCTGAACAATGAAAGCAAATCATTTGTTAGATGTCCAGTAAATTTAAGAAACATTAAGTAAATCTTGAAAGGGAAGAAATGTCTTGTAACTACAGAAAAACAGAGAGAGATCCATTGTGTTTTCGTTCAATTCAGTTATCCACCTAACAATCAAAAGGCAATATCTATATATAAATTGGTCAAAAACTGGAAATACAGTAGTGAAAACATTTTAGTGAAATGGGCCTGTACTATTTTCTTCGTAATTCTATGTTCAAAAGGTACCAGATGACTTAAAAAAAGAGAGATTTGGACAGTGTATAATTGCAACGACAGGAATTCGAACAATTAAGAAGAGTACCATCCCATTATCAAGTAACAACTGGAGTAACCAAAAAAACAAAAACAAAAAAACAACGACAATAACAACAATTTTTATTGATGCATACCTTAATGACTCATTATATGCAATAGGGTTTTGAGCAAGGTACTTCATGGTATTGGCAATTGATTCAGCATCTTTTATCTCTTTAATGTGTAAAACTGAATTAGAAGAAGGCGCAAAGTCTTGGATGTTTGGAGCACCAACCACCACAGGGATTGACCCTACAAGTTTTATAGACTTTTATCAGCAAGTTGAAACCTTAAATCTCAATCCAGAACTAATAAAATTATCAAAATCTTAAACATGGGATAAACCTCGAAAAAAGAGAATTTAGTCTTAGAGCATAAAGAAAATGCTCAACTAAGATGATGCCCCCAAAATCAATTCAACAAAATTCCAAAAATATTTGAGCCATCTCAGTGTAGACTGTAGAGCACATTGTGCATTCTACAGAAATGCAAGTCTAGATCCAAACCATTGTTGAATGTGTCAAGAATTTATCAGAATTCAGAAGTTTGTCCTTCCTGCAACTTCTATAAATAATTGTAAGCTTTAGATACTACAATTCCAAGGTCTGCTAGTAAACCCAGAAGATCTTCCCAAAACCACATCAAATACAACTAGGAACAAATGTATCTATCATGTTAAGGGATGGGCTGAGCTATAATAGATGCTCTCAATTCTGAAAATCCAAGTCTATAAACCCAATAAGAAAAAACAAATGTGATTACCAGCTACCAGAGCCTGAAAGAATTTTTCAGTTACATAGTCCTCCTCATTAGAATTCTCAAAAGCCAAGCTAAACTTGTACCGCTTCAGTGCTGCCACTTTGTCAACTGCCATCAAATTGAGAACGGAAACCAGAAGTTAGATTTAATTGGATACTTTTTATTGACAAGTAACGTGATTCAATTGGATATTAGCCTAAACCTACACCAAATGCATGTATAAAATACACCGCATTCAGAAAGATGATTTGTCCACCACACCTTTTCTGGCTATACTTCTCTCTTCAACAAATCACAGTCTAACTTCCTCAGAATGAATTTGAACTATTTAATTGTTGTATTCCAAATTTATTCTTATCATGTGGCAAAATTGTAACTCAAATTTTAAAAAAGAGCAAAACAATCCATTGAGAAGCAATCATTGGACTAGCATAAATTCGAATCACTAAAAAAACCACGACATGCATGCTCACGTTAGCCAGGAGAAAAAACATAAGGTTTGCACTGGTAGTGAAATCCTGTCTCCTGGAGGAAGGTGTGACACCCAAGGAAGAGTCAATCAAAAACATAATACTACTCTATGGACAAGAATTAGCTCCCTAGTGGCGCTGCTTAGAAAATGCACCATCCATATTCTATCCTTTAATTCTTCAGTAAGTTTGGATAATTGAAATATACTAACCTCTTCCATCCCTGTTATGATGACAACTGCCATAAGAATCAATTCTGATATTTGCCCTTTCAAGGGCTTCTAAAGCTTGCAAACGGAAGTTGCGAGCACCACAATTAGAAATGAAAGCGGCTGCCAAGGCATTCTCTGTTTTAGGTTGTACTGGAGCCATGATATCATACTCAGCCCAAGAGAAGTATCCAACAGGAACATCTGAAGAGAGGCTTGTTGTCATTACAACATCATATCCCCTTCTGGTATGTGAGCGGAAAAAAGAAAATAGGTTAGCAAGCTTATGCAAAGTTTAAAACTCAACCACGCAATGGTCCTTAAGAACTTTGGCTTCATAAATTAATCTTGTGACTCAATATAACGAAGAGCACTAACCAACTAACCAAGGTAATTTTAGACTCTATCAAGGCAACTGGCATAGCTTTAAATATCTCTGTCTATATGCTAAGCAAATTTTTTAAGCAAGGTGATGCTAAAATCTCAACTACAATGAAATTCAAAGATTTTGTGGTAAAATAATTAACTTTGTATTTCAACTTTTTTTTAATTTTGTGATAACTGAAATCCCTAAGGGCTAGTGACGCACGGTTCGAAACTCGGTGGATAATACGCCCAACCCTCTACCCTTCTCCAGTTAAATACCAGGACTTTGTCTGCTAAAAGGTTCGAACTTGTGACATGCACCTAATCCACACATCAAAAACTGTGCTCTTACTCAACTTTGTCTTTCAACTTCTGTTAGACGCAGTTGGCATAGCTTTAAGTATCTGGTGGCACTCAACTAATTCTGCAAGTTTTTAAATTTTCATTTTGTTGAATAGGCATGGTTGGACATCATATTACAGATGGCTCAGTAAAATATCATGAAATTTGACCAATGGTTTATTGATATTGAAAAGTCAATCCAATAACAACTCAAACATTAAACTAGATTAGATGTGCTCATTGACCATTAGTTGGTGCATAATCCTGTGCAAACACTGAACATGGGTTCTGATCATGTCCTTAATACGTCATTACAATCCTTGCTAGAGTTCTAATCACCTCTTAGCTCATTTAGCATACCCAGAGACCCCCAAGAGTAGACAATATACTAATCATCTTATACCCTTTACAAAGTAAACAAAAGGAGAAGAGCATCTATATAAGTAAAATAGGAAGCGTTTGACTTATACCACGTCGAAACTAGGTCCTAGTTTGATTTGTGCGGTCAAATAACCAAAGCTAGTACATTCACATTATGACTAATCAAAAAGGTACTTTAGCATCTTTAGCTCTAAATTAGCTTCAATAAGTATGGTTCGTGGTCCACTCCATCCCCAAAACTCCCCAATTGAAAAGCAGAGTTCCTATTTTTTGCCCTACAGGAATGAAGAAAAAGAGAAAGGAAACCCAGCCAGATTAAAACGACAAAAAGCAGGGTCAGCGATGATTCAGTCAAGGTGAACAACAACAACAACAACAACAACAACAACAACAACAAACCCAATGTAATCCCACAAGTGGGGTCTGGGGAGGGTAGTGTGTACGCAGACCTTACCCCCATCTTGAAGGTAGAGAGGTTGTTTCCGATAGAGGTGAATCTTAACTATTTTCTACAGCAAATATATTTTGTGCCTAAGGGAAAGAATTCATGTCATCAGTTTTTAAATATCTTGTCTATGCAAAATTTTGACAAGGACCTATAGCTGCCAATATGCTTATAATGCAAAAGTTCTTATCTAAAACTAATAGCAATACATAACTTAAATAAGAATGTGATAAAAATGAAAGAGAATGACAACAAATATTGAAAAGAAAATTGCCAATAAAGGCAGGGAATGAAATAAGACTTCTTTCACAGTGTGCTTACCCACCGTCGTGCCAAAGTAATGTTGTTCTCTGCATAGTATTGAGCTGACTCCATCGACCGTAGCACACTAGCTGTGCCAGCTTGTTGTGGTAGCCGAAATGCTGCATCAGGCTTCTTATCGGAATCTGTTCCAAACTTACATCCTATGGAACAGGATTTCAATTCCTGTATAGTGATTGAATAGACATCAGAATTCCGTATAGGATGGGACATTCATAAAGTCAGAGATGAGTAGGGAATATGTAACAAGAGCATAGCATGGGAGACCAAGAACAATAAGAAGTGGTATTTGCATTATGATAAACTGATTTCTGATCATTCCATTAGAGTGTTATTTTTTGTGATGAAATAAATAAAGGAATGCTGAATGAATATATGCTTCAAAAGGCAATCAACATGAAATTTCACAAAGCTTCTCTACTCTTTCCCCACTTTTAAATGAAAGGATTAGAAACTCTAATCCTTATTAAAATCTCACAGCAAAAGAAGCTAAAAAACTAAAATCCATCAACTAAGCAAACCTCTCTTGCTATGAGCCAGCTACAATAATAGCCAAAAGACTGAAATCAACCATGCACCTAAAGTGTACTGAGATGCCAATACATTTTTGAGACAACAACAACTACTACTACTGCGCCTCTATCCCAAACTAGTTGGAGTCGGCTGTATGACTCCTCAATATCATAAATATTCTGTTTGAGTCCATCATAATTCAATACCCCGTATTTAAGGATTATCTAACACTAGGAATTGCGATAAAATCCACAAAAATAAACAAATACATTATCTAAAGAAATTTAGGCATATCACTAACAACGATCAAAAAAAGAAATACGACTATGCCTCAATGCCAAACTAGTAAGTCCAATTATATATATTCACTAATAAATAGAAGTGGATATAACCTGTCCAGGCCCATGAACAAAAATTGGTTCATTGTCAAAATCCCTCGAATATGCCACAGAATCTTCCCTTTCCAACCACTCCTCGCAACTCCCAGGTACGAAGCCCTGATCAAACTCGGCACCTAAAACACCCAACTGGACCTCCTCAACGTCGCCGTGGTCGACAGCCAGTTTAGAGGTGGACCAAGAGGCCGTAGTGAACTGATAAAACGACTCCGCCCAAGAGTTGGCTTTTTCAGCCACGTCGAGTCGAACCAGAAAAGAAATCTCTGCTATAACCACTAGGGCAACGAACAGAGGCAACCAATTGCGCCATTGTTTATTGGGTGCGTTTGAATTTGACGACGATCTCATTGAGGTAGGTGCTTCGTCTGCTCTAGGAAAGCTATAGCCTAGAGCCTTGAATCGCTAAATTTTAATGAGGAAGTAAAGAAATTAGAGAAAGAAAAATAGAGAAGTGGATTCCTAAAGTTTTTGGAATTCATGCACATTATTATTACTGTAAAGGGGCTTTAGCGAATACAGGTCAACTAAAGACTTGTATAAATTGTTACATTTTCCAATGTTGTTTCTAAGTGGGCTGTCCAAGAATTGTAAAATTCGAAAAAAAGTAAAAAAAAAAAAATTCTAAGTAGTAATTGAAAATTAGAGTTGTGTTTGGATATAAATATAATTTTTGGTTATTTTTGAATTTTTTAGAGTGATCTAAGTGAAAAATTTTAAAAAATAGTTTTTTAGAGTTTTTGAAATTTTGAAAAATTCCGAAATTCATCTTCAAGTGAAAATTAAAAATTTATGGTCAAACATTATTTAGAAAAAAAGTAAAAAAATAAATCGAAAAAAGTGAAGTTTTTTTTTTATGGCCAAACGGGCTCTAAATTTATTTCCATCAAAGTTAATTATTTTTCCTTTAGGAAAACGAAGTTCCTTGTGAGTTGCGACATCTTCTATGTTCTTTTTTAATGATAGTGGTTTAATTTCAGGTTCCGAACAACATGATAATTTAATTTCGTTCATGTTGGGATTATTTTTCATGTTGTCGTACAAACTTACCCATTAGAACAAAATGATGCTCGAAAGCTTAAAATAGCACTTGATATTGCACAAGAGGAGTCTAGAAGTAGCAAAGTCAATCCATTTTTTAGTGATCCACCTAACTAGTCCAAGTTTAATCCTTTATTGAACTTACCTAACGGATTGAACCTGAAGTGACGCATTAAACTATTGGGTCAAAAGCAAAATTATGAAAATTTCAAGGAAGGTATCCAATTGATATTGGTTTATAGCCAGTTTGGCCAAATTTCTTCAAGTCAAATGCACTTTTACTTCACAAAAAATATTTTTTTTTTTAAGTTAAGTGTTTGGCCAAGCTTTTAGAGTTAAAAAAAGTAAAACAGAAGCAGTCTTGGAGAAGCAGAAAAAAGTAATTTCTCTCCAAAAGCATTTTTTTGAAAAATATTTTTGAGAAAAATACACTTAGAAGCGGTTTTTAAAAGCTTGGCCAAACACTAATTGCTGCTCAGAAGTGCTTTTCAAATAAATTAGCCAAACACAAACTACTTCTCAACGAAACTGCTTTTGAAAAAAGCATTTCTCAAGATAAGCTGATTTTTGCAGCTTGGCCAAACAAGCTATTAGTCAGGTATGGGAATTTCAAGTGAAATCTCCGCGAGCTACTAATATACAACCTGTCAAACTATTTACTCCCTCCGGTCCACAATAAGTGACCAATTTGCTTTTGGCACACCCATTAAGAAAATACAAAATTCTAGACAAAAGTAGTTAGTATGACTAAACTATCCTTAATTAAATATTATAGCATAATTAATGTGAGGAATAAAAGACTTTTTAGGGATACGTACATAAAGGTAATTTTGGAAAAACAAATTAAATTTTTTCTAGGTTATATAAATGGACATTTATTTTGGACCAAAATAAAACGCAAATTGATCACTTATTATGGACATGGACCGGAGGGAGTAGTTCTCTATTCCTTTTGTATATCAAGCCAGAAGTCATGCTGAATTGATTACTCCTACCAGTTTGTCCCGTCTCCATTTTGTAACAAAGCAACTCATTCTGCAAACAAAGACCAAAGCGAGCAAACAGCGTCGAATAAGAGAAGAAAAGAGTCGAATACACTATACAAATAATCTAAAGAGTTCCTTTTGATTACGTATACATGAACCTGTATGGGGTTCAAGATCACAAACGCAAAGGAAAAAAAGAATGAAAACAAAAGAATCAGATACAGTTGCCCAGCTGAAGTTCATAGAGACATCTACTCTATAGATAGATCACAGAGATCTCAAAATTGACAACATTAATGATTTCCTAGCTTTTTCCCTTCTTTTCTTGCAAAATACTTGTGCTTGTATAGATAATTATGTACTAATACTATCATTTACATTTGTACTGCAATACTGCAAACCTCTGGCAAATGTACGCTACACTTTTTCCTACTCTATATTATTAACCAAGTTGTAACAAATCTAATCTAATCCAATAGCACCTTCTCAAGTTCGCTAAAGTTATCCTTTAGAGACGCCCCCAGCAAATACAAACTGCTTGTCTTTGTGACTCAGTGTTCTCCAGCTTTGCCCACCCCTCAGCTGCATTTCAATAAGGGCTCATAGCACGTCTGAGGACACTCAAATCCATCAGTCGCCTGATGAACTTCCGGATTTTACTTGATCATTTCTTCGGAACAAGAATTAGCTCCTATGGTTGTTTTCTGATGAACTTCCAAGATTTAATTGGTTATTTCTCTGGGACATGGAACTAGCAACTCGTGGACTCCAAGATACCTTGTTGGGACGATCTGAAGTACGCATCTAACAATTAGAAATGGGGTTCTCAGAACCTTAGATTATTTTTTCAAAGTAATGGGAAGAAGTTGATGCACATTACTTGCTCTTGGTCTGTAGTGTCCACCAAAGCTGGCTTCATCTTTTTGCAGCTCGAGTTTTCTTCAAAATCTTCATCTTCAAAATTTTGACCAGAACCTTCTGTAAAATTTTTAACAAATTCAAAAACAGAAATACTAAGAAATGTAGAATTAAAACAAGCTACAATGTAACTACATATGTTTCCTTGGTGTTTTAGCATCCCAGGAATCCGAGCATGTAAACTAAAAGCTCCAACATTTTAGTCCTCACCAATGAATTACCGTCTGTACCACTCAAATCCTCCCCCCCCCCCCCCCCAAACCCTCCAAACAAAAAAAAAAGAAAAAAAAATGGACCAAAAAAACAGAAGAAAGAGCTGCAAAGATCATATTAAAGGAAAACTGGATAATAGCATGCCTCAGATTTCCTGTTGCACCATTTGCATTCCAGCCTCAAGTATGATCCCATATCTCTATTCTAGCATTTCTCAACCATTTCAACTGATACGTATTTACAAAATAAAACCTAAAAGAATTCCTAAAACAAATCCATGTTAAGGAAATCATATTTGCTAACTGATAATTTCCACGTCAATTTCTCTAACATGCTTTCTGAATAGCATTAACTAGGTACGAGAAAAATATAATTGGAAGACTGCAACTAACATATATATGAAAATCTGGATATGGCCAAAACCAAAACTGGCAATCAAAGACTAGAGCACTTGAATAGTGTAAGAGGAGACAACTCTTAGTTAATAGCCCTTCATTCCGGATGGACCTTCAGTTAGCAAAAGTTATGATACCAATGCCCCCACCTTCCCAAGTCCCTATCTATACCAGTTACTAAAAAGGAACTGAATTATTAATTAAGTGCTTATTCATGCGCCAATTCCAGAAAAATACCCATGGTACAACACAAGAGAAAGAGAGAGAATGTTACATGGCCTATTGAGTTATACCTTCACCACTAGTCTAGAGTGGGTTTTAGCATTAGTATGGTACTCTAAGCGGATATTCGGAACTCTAGAACTTAATAAACTTTTAATATAACCATACCCTATGTTGCGCGGGATCTCCAAAATGATGTTGCACGCGTGTCGGATCCTCCAAAAATGCACTATTTTTGGAGGTTCCGACACGCACCTGGCGACATTTTTGGAGAGTCCGAGCAACATAGACCATACCAAATTACTCACACCTATACTGGGATCCATGTAACATGGAGAAGAGAAAGTGAAAGAGAGGAAATGGGGTTGCACCAGGAACAAATAACTATTGCAGCTGGCACAAGAAAAGAGAGGGCACATCTTCAACCAGCAACAAGAAAATGTTGACAGCGTAACAGGAAAATGGTTTGTGTTTTCTTTTGCATGCTTTCAACATAAAAATACCTTTTATTCACACCCTATAACCACTTTTATCTCCACAAGGCTAGTATTATTCTCAATATTGGTTAGCGTAATAGCGTCCCTCTCACAGTTCAGAGCCTATGCAAAAGAAGCATATAAGCCAGACCCGACTTTACGAGGAGAAAGGGAGTAAAACATAACAGAAAATGATATACTGAATACCTAGATCCTTTAACACCTGAATTAAGAACAATTTTGACACAACTTATCAAAGTGCTTACCAGCAAGTCTGAAAACTTCTTTCCGAAGTTCTGCAGATTCGGAAAGGATTAAATGTGATCTTGTTTCGTGTCCACCAGATGAAGACCTCTTATCTCTGGTTCGTTTCTCCTTGCAATGTAGTTTACAACAAAAATGGATATCCAGAACGTGATGGTGCCTATCACTGTGTAGATTTTTTGGGCAATCGTGAGAATCAGCTGTGATATCCACAACAGGTGGCTTCCTCACAGTATTCATCTTCTTCCAACAGTCATCATGCAGAGAAGGAACCTGAAAGAGAAGGGAAAAAACTTATTAAGCAAGATCCACCGAAAGGTTTTCTGATTTTCTTCTTAAGAAGGGCATGGTGCTGTTTTCGTTGTCATGTAGTTGAGCAAGAGGGGGAAATTTTGTGCAGATCCCTCCCGAGTACTTCAAAGAGAAACCAAAAAAGGGAAAACAACATAGTTTTACATTCAACCATGATCCCTTTAGAAAGCATGAAACCTACTAACAAGTTCTCAATTTGAAAGAAAGCAGAATATCTTCCTAAAGGAAAAAGGATTTTTTTGATATCTACCTAAACGAGGAAGGGTGTCCTGTAAGAAGTAGGAATTTAATAGTTAAGCTTCCCTTCCCCAATTAAAAGGAAATTACAACGGATGGAAATATCTGATATTAACTTTTCCCACTTATTTCTTGAATTTTGGCATCTCAAATCAATAAAGCAAGAAACAAAAATTTGCTCTTCTGAACATTAGAAGTCATTCACAGAAAGCCAAAAAATGAAGAAGATTATATCAAATCTGGGTATGTACTTTTCATGATCATAATTTCCTTTGGGTTAACCCTAATAATTTTTAGTTAACAAAGTTCATTTAATCTTCTAAGACAAAAAGACCAGACAACTAATGATCGTAATTTCTTTTGGTTCGACATGATTTGTATTTTTTATTTTTTGGGGGGATGGAGTAATTGGCTTCATTGATGGCCTCAAGAAGATGCAAAATATTACAAGTAGAAGCAAAAGCTACATATATGATCGCATCAAATGAATGTTAAGCACTTCTTCATACAGAATAAATATTCACTTCATAAAATATTCACTTCATAAATTGTAGAACGCTAAATATATATATAGACACACAACACACATATATGCATGTGTATGTGTATCAGCCCTGCGTTTTTGCATTCTTTTTCTTCTTGATGTTGCATGATCTACACTTATTGTCAGATTGGTGTTGGTATGAGAAAATACCACCTCGACCCAAAATATACATCTGCCTCTGCCCCAGGTCATTGTGAAAGTGAAGCCAAAGCACAGGTCGTGTTATAGCTCTAGAAATAAAGAAATGAACTAAAATTAGGCTCCTGACCTGCTCTGAAGCTTTGTTGACATGTGCAGATAACTTTTTGGCCAAATTGCTGCTGCTCTTGTTTAGTTCCATAGATCCAGCAAGTGAGGCCATGGACCTGTGTAACTGCTTTACAAATGATGCTTCAAGAAAGTCTAGAAATGTATTGTGCTTCTCATTTGTCCATCCTGGGTGCTTGACCTGAAGTCAAAACGTGAAATATGCATGCATTATTATCCTTAATTCTGGCAGGTTATTGGAAAAAAGACATGTCAATTTCAATTTTGAGCTTTCTTGTTTTGGCCTGTGAGCTCCATGCAGCTTAGGAATAGAATTGCTGCAGGCGGGCTAAGGAATATAAAGAATGTGTAGGATTAAACATCCTGATGCATTAATCAGAAATCAGCTAAACTGGGTATGCCCATTAAGGAAAAATTAGAAAATATATCAAGGACTAAACCTTCTTTTTTTGTTTTTGGTGTAATTCTGAATATGATCCTGAGGATATTTTGGATGTACTAGGTTCCTTATAAGAAGAACAAGGATGTAGGTCTTCTACTATTTTGGTGCTTTGTAACAACCTATTTTTGTTTCCAGTACATTCATTGTGCTGATGTTCTAATATATATACAGAAACATGTTATCATTCTCACAAAATATGCATGCCATAAGCACCTTTTACAGATGATCATTTCAAAGACCAACAAGAAGGTATAGATAATGGATTCCATATTCAAGTCTACAATATGTAAAAGAGATGTGGAAAAGGGAGAAATTTGAGCTGCTACTTCAGATAAGCGGACATGAAAGGACTGACCACATGCAGGAGCCCATATAAACGAATTACAACCACCACAACAACAACAATAAACCCAGTGACTTCCACAAGTGGGGTCTGGGGAGGGTGAGTACGCAGCCTTACACCTACCCTAGAGGGCAGAGAGGCTGTTTCAGGAATATAAACAAATTAAGAATGCAAATTTAATAGGAAGATCTGATGAATTTCACGTGCATTAAAGAGGTTCACGGATCCATCCATATGCAAATTTCACACGCATTAAGGAGGTTGCGGAGGACAATAGTCTCCCACATTTATCACGGGAAGAATCTAATGAATTTTGTGAAACCTCAATTAAATATCAATGCAAGTAACTCATAAACTGGATGCAAGTCAGGAAAACATCCAGTCGACATAATTGATATTAACTGTAAGAAGATAAAAGTACCTTGCTCGCCACAAGGCAAACTCCAAACCCTAGTAAAAGTCAAAGCTCCATTTCTTTTCATTCTCTAATTCACTAGCGGACCACTCTCAAACCTACATCATAATATGAACCTGCTACATCCCAACCTAAAATAAGAGTGTTAACACTATCACTAATGGGATTTTACCTATTAGCTTGAATGGGTATATTAACCGTTATTAGCACCCCAATATGATGTCCGGGAAGTTACGCAAAAAGTATTCAATTACAAATAGCTCATTCGCACATATACATGAGTTTCGTTTGAACACATGGATAATGCACTCATGCATAGAGACAGTTAAATACGATTTATCAAAATGATTCGTGACAAACCAAGTAGGTATGATGGCAAGAAGTCTACTTATAAAAGAAAGCTATTGAAATTATCAAGGTTAGGAAATAAGAAGCAGGACATTTTAATCAGGAAAAGGACAACTTTTTTATCTTTTTCTTCTTTTCTGGGCGGGGTAGGAAACATCATCCAGAATCTAGAAGGGCTATCTTAATAATTATGTACAATTCAATGAAAATCATTATCACTGAAAAACTTCTACGAATTGAAATTCTCGAGCCTATTCCCTTATCTCTCTTCTGATGGATGTCATGATAGAAGCAAAGAATTTTACATCGATTAATGTCAACTTTAGTTTATTAGATGAAACCATGCCTCAGTTAGGGGCTAATTTCAGCAACTTTTAATCGTTCTAAAAAAGAACATGAAAACCAAAAAGGCATGTCAGTATATAAAGATTGATTGATTACTTTAGTTCCTTTTATAACAAGAGGACTCCAAGAAACCTAATCCTGAACAATCTTTTTTTTTCTTCTTTTTTCCATATATATCTAAGACGCCTATCTCCTGTTAATCAACCAAAAAGAATAAAATAACATACAAGTTCTAAACAACTAGAAACCATAAAATGGACATTAAATCAGAATAATAACCAGTGACTGACGTCCAAAGCTAAAGGGATGAAGATGATACAAAAAGCCGCTTACTTTCACATGAACAGTACTTGTATAGACAGTTTTATGAATAACCACGTTGACGAAAAGTATTTTAGTTGTCTCCTTGTTCTGGCATGCTAAAACTTGGTCTCGAGTTTCGTATTGGTTCCATCAATAGATTTCAGCGCTATCCTTGCACTCTTTCTATGTTTTCTTTCTACATCAACTGAAGTTTCTTCAAGTGCAATTCTTCTAATATGAATCTGATTTACGTCTATCTAAGAAGTTTTTTCCAGTAGATGATTTCTTTAAAAAAGATGTGAGCTGTCCTAGAATGTAACATGAAGAATGTCACTCGTAGAATCTTTTGTAAATCCAATTTTTCTTCAAAAGGAGTCATAAGGTTATAAATCAAACCTTCTCAGAATCTCAACTATAACCGACATATTCTTAGAAACAAAAAATCCAAAATTTGAGAAACTTCAACACCAAGAAAAGAGGACACTAATCTCAAATCTGTCAAGACAAACTGATTAATCATAGTCTAAAAGCACTTTGATATTAAACAGCAATTATGCATGTAGTAATTTAATCTTCCACGTACAAGCTTATTAGCTTACAATAAGGATATGCCCGTCAAAGGAATCTGAAAGCATTTCATTTAAAATCTAATAAAGCTTTAAGAAATATGTCGAACTTCAAACATCCAAAGAAACACACTAATTATAGACAGCCATTTCCATGCTTGAACCGAACACTATATAACTCAGTTGTTCCCCTACTTTGCAGTTACCCTTTTGCATGTCAGATGTCGAACTTTATCACAGCAGTTGGAACCAATCAAGTATCAGCTAAGGAGTGCTCATTAGATCAATATTGTGGATTCATTATATGCAAACAATGTGTATATCTTGCTAGCACTATCAGATTAACAGCTAGATGAAAGGATAGAGACTTAGGGGGTCTAAAAGCTCTGAGAAGAAAGGTAGTCTCAGAAGAGTAACTTTTAGAAGAAATTCCATTCTCAAAAGTTATAATATAATCACACACTGCAGTTTCAACGAAACAATTCAATCGATTTTCAGATTATTAATATTAACTGCATATGCAGAATCAAATGCATGAGTAATCAAGAAGTGTGACAAAAGAGTTGAGCATTCAATAGCTACATATCCAGTGATGGCTTTAAAGAAAACAGGGCCCCAGTTTCTAGAAGTGACAATATAGTAACCTCTTTTTTTGGGATGTCCCACCCAACTTGCATGTACCTCGACTATTCCACGAGGTACTTTCTACCTCCCATCAGGTACTAAAACTTACAAACTACAATTTTTTACTAGTAACAGCTGATTAACCATTAGGTCCATTACTGAAAATACATAATACAGAATCTGATATTCCCAAAAGCAACTAGCACAAGACAGTCTCAGCCAGATACGCCAAGTTTACCCTAATGACATCCCAAAATGTCTTAGGCAAGCCTTTATAGAGTAGTTGAATCTAAAGGTGGAAATGTCCAATAAAGGCCCTGACAACAGACTGTCAATTAAATGCTCAAGCGGGTAAAATTCTTTTAAAGTAGACATGAAAACAGGTATTTTAGAATGACAAGCTAAATATTCATGATTGATCATCTAGACATCTACAACCTCTAACGTTTATCTTCAGGATGCTCATTTTACATCAAATCCCATAAACAAGCATTAAGCAACATCCGACGAATAATTAACCCTTGCCACGAAAGCTATTCATTTTTTCCTTATCCACCAGAAATAAATACCATATAAAATAAAACAGAGTTGAATTAAGCACAAACATCACCCATAAAATCCTCAACCTGATCTCTAAATTAGCGAACCTTTTATTTACATTTCTTCCTCCAATCCTTCTAATAGTACATAGACTTTCATCTGGCTATAAAGATCACATCGAAAAATTGAAACAAATAAATAGCAGTCAAATACCTACGTATATTTTATAAGTTACGGTACTTCAGGTAAATTATAAGCAGATTTTCGGCTGCATCACAAAATTTCTAAACAAATACATAAATATACACGGCGGCAGAATCGGAAAAAAGGAACTATTACCGTGGTAGTATTTCCACTCGGTAGCATAGTATCGTTGAAATTGGCAACAGTTAGTGACGCGCCACAATTCAACTGGGTCTCCGGCCTGTAGCTGTCTTCCATTTTAAAATCTCCGATAATGCAGATTTGAAAATAAAAAAATCTCTCTATATTAACACGCAGGTGAATAAGCGTGAATTTTGGGTATAAGAGGGGTAGCTGGGCGGTGGGGGGGTTTGGGACTCAGAGGAGGCGGTTTTGAGGGGTAGTGGTTTCGGTGGGGCCAAAAAGGCGCCACATGGCAACGCTTTTACACGTGGCGTTTGCCACGTCGGCAATGGGTGATAATATCTTCGGCAAATATCAACCAGATATTTTCTAAGGAGCAAGCGAAAATAGTGTGTGAGTAAGGTACTTTTGTAACCGTGGCATGTCGTAACCGGAAGGTGCTGATCACGCTCCACGTCACTGACAGCTACTCGGCGAAGGGCCCACTGGTCACAGGTAAAGTACAAAGATAAGTGTAGGGTCCACTTGCACTATTCCATTTACCACTTTATTTCTTTTCAATTTGCTTTCTTTATTCACCTCCAGATTTTTACCTCCTTGTTCAGTAAATTTTCAAGTATATTTACACTTTACAGTTTATTATTGTCATTACGCATTCCGATATTAAAATTAAAAACTACTATAAGCCACATGATATTTATTACCTGAAACCAGCTTCGCTTCATAGCTGCATATATATTAGATATCTCTAATATAAATTATTGGCCACTAGTATTTAAATAGTTTTAGGGGGATAATTAAAACAAGTGATAGTGAGTTGCATGTAGACTAGCGAACAATACAATATAATTGTTTTACATAGTTTTTTGTTATAGACAAACTGATGAAAGTTATTATGTTAGAGTAGGATATATAGGAGAGACAAATATCTAGTCAGATATTTTCGGTTGTTTTCGTTCACATTTATTCGAACAAACAAATCTAACGTACTCCTCCGTTTCATATTAAATGAGGTAGTTTGATTCGGCACGGAGTTTAAGAAAAAAGAAGAAGACTTTTGAAATTTGTGATTTTAAAAGCTTAAGGGGTAAAAAGTTTGTGGGGTCATGACGATTGTGTAGCTACAAAAGCTTCTCATTAAGGGTAAATGGGTAAAATGAAAGAGTTTAAAGTTGAATTATTTCCAAATTTAGAAATGTATCATTTATTTTAGAACAGACTAAAAAGGAAAGTACCTCATTTAATATGAAACGGAGGGAGCAGTTGTTTTAGCCTGTAATAAGTCACTTTCCTTGTCTATTAGCTGAAGCTGATCACACTGGCATAAAGGATTATGTAATTTAATTTAAAAAAATCTTTCACAACTTTTAGTACTTAGTGGGCGTTTGGACATTATTAATGTATAAATTCTAAAAAAAAAAAAAGTAAAACAAGAAATTCAAGTGGAAATGATATTTCAAAATTAGAATTGTGTTTGGACATAAATATAATTTTGGGTTGTTTTTAAAGTTTTGTGAGTGATCTGAGTGAAAATTTTGAAAAATAATTTTTTGGAGTTTTTCAAATTTTCGAAAAATTTCAAAATTGATCTTCAAGTGAAAATTAAGAATTTTATGGCAAAACATTGATTTAATAAAAGTAAAAAAAATCGAAAAATGTGAAAAAAAAAATTCTTATGTCCAAACGAGCTCTTAGTATATTGTTATTAGAGTTGGTGTGGAAATAAAAAGCACATATAATGGTTTTTTAAAGTAACCAAACAATTCGATAACATTCAAATGTAATTAGTCTACCGCAATTTAATTTGACAGACTGTAGTTTCTAGAAAGAAAAAAAGTGATAAACTTAATTACTCCATTTATTAATCGTGAAAACTGGCAATTGGAAATGTACATACGTAATTGGAGTAAGGATAATTAAATATAGCAACTAAATTCTTCATACATATCTTTATAACTTCGTTTTTGTTGAGGTTACGTGACTGTGTTTAAAATACTGCACCTTAGGTTTTACGCAATCATAGACTCAGTCATACAGGTGTTCAAAAAATTATGATTTCACGTCAAAATGAAAGCACTAGTGATCACAAAAGTGTAGCTCGAAAATATCTTATGCTATAGCACCATTTAGATATTTTAATTCCTTTAAATGCAACTAAAGTGCAATTACGCGAGCAAATTAATTACAATAATGCCTGCAGCCCAAGGGTGGGTCAACACTAGGGGTGTTCATGGTTCGGTTTGGATCGGTTTTTCCCTTAAAAGAAACCAAACCAAGTAAGTCGGTTTTTCAAATATTAGAACCAAACCAAACCAATTAAGTCGATTTTTTCTCGATTCGGTTTATGTTGGATTTTGTCAGTTTTTTGATTTTTTCAGTTATTTGTCGGTTTTTTCTTAAATATAAGACATACACTACCAAATACATATTTCGGCGACCATATTTTCAACGTAACACTATCAAATCAATTGCCCTTTGAGAAATCTATTATTTACCAAGATATATTGATGAAATTGAATCAAATAGTGATGAATAATTTAAGGACTCAATTAAAAATATATTATTTTTAACACGAAATGGATTCTTACACTTAACAAAAAAAACTACCAATCAAACTAGAATATAAAGGTAGTGAACTATACTAAAAGTACAATCTATTAACATTTACCATCAAATTTTTGAAACTTTGTATAAAAATATACATATATATATATATAGGTATAATAATAAATTTGAAATAGCTACTCCTATAGTCGGTTTGGTTTGGTTTTTTTTCGGTTTTTTTTTTATCAAAACCATAACCAAACCAAATTTTATCGGTTTTTAAAATTCAAAACCAAAATTAAACCAAACCAAAAAATATCGATTTTTTTGGTTGGTTTGGTTTGGTTTTTGGTTTGGTTCGATTTTTCGGATTTTTACGAACACCCCTAATCAACACGATGGCTGCGTCAATTTATAGTAGTATTTGCTAATTTTTTTTATTTTGTTGGTAAAACATTGGATTTAATTTGCGGCGGTAGATGACGAGGATTATTGAAGGGTTAAAGAAACCTTTGGCGGCTACGAGCAATATTGTCGAGAATAAATAATTTTTTGAATATGATAAATTGCTACGCACATAGTTAAAAGGATTTAGATTTTTAAGCTAGTGGGAAAAACGAGTGTACCTGTTAGTTTGAGTGCTCGTATGGATTACTAAAGAACTTGATTTTTTACCGTGTTTCTTAAGCGTAAAGTAAATAAGCAGTAAAATGAACATATCGATCTTACGTGAAAAATCACCCGGCTCAAAAGGTGCATAAAACACGACCTACCACGTAGGATTTTCAACTCCAACTCCACTAGAACAATGAGCCAAAACGTATCAATTACAAGACTGTAATTCAGTACTCTCTAGTACTCCTATTACTCATATTTGATTCACAAGTTACACTAACTTGTAAAGCAAAATACTCACTCCAACTCACTAACTGTTTATGATGTTTGATTACAACTCGATTTCCTAAGAACACATTTACTTGACAGACTCGGAAGAATACAAAGCAAGTACTCGATGCAAGTAAAAACAACTTTTTATACTTTAGTTGATGTGTCGAAGGATAGTTCAGAAGTCAAAGTCAATCATATTTAAACCCCAGTTGAGATCTTCTAGGAGTCCTATTCATAGTCAGCTTCCTCTTTGATAGGGCTCCTACTATTTCGAGAACAAGCTTTGGGACTTTTGTCTCTGACTGAATTATCCATATCTTCTTGAGCAACGACTCTTATCACTTATAGCAGCCATCTTCTACCAAACTCGGACCTGGGTAACTTTGAGATAAAGTTACTGTCTTATACGTACAAGTATCAATCATGAGGAGCAGATCCTTTAACATGAGGAGCTGGTTCTTCACAACAGTTAAACAGCTACATTGAGGACCTGGTTCTTTGAGTAGTTAGTCACACTTTGTTAATCATCAAAACTTCAATACTCAACAAATTCCCTTTTTTTGATGATGACAAACTTTGTACACAGAACCGACATCACATCAAAGAACTAGTTAAGCAATCATATGTATGTTGACAACCCCACAACCTTCCAACCTTATTTTCCCCCTTTTGGCATCATCGAAAAAACACAAACACAAGTTAGACATTAAGCACAGATAATGTAAGATTCAAGGCCAAACATGCGACAACACAAGAATAAGAAAGGGCAAACAAACTAGGTTGATGATTCAAAAGAGTACAAAGCAGTAAAGCAGAGTAATAAGAGACATTAAGTAGTGCCAAAAGAAGCCCAGGGCCTTGTCTTCATCATTAGAACAAAATAAACTAAGCATATTGCAGACTACTCAGACGGAGACAGAAGAAACAAAAGATAGGGCATCACTAGAATAGCAAAAGAACTAAGGACGCTGGAAGGAACATGTTCAAGGGTGAGAGGCAGGGGGGGTCAAAGCTTTCACAAAGGTAGCAATCTGTTGAGCAGGGGCCTCCCTATCTCGTCGGAGTTCTTCCCTGAGTTGCTTAGTTTCCTGTCTTAGCTCATTATTGTCTTCACAAAGCTTGGCATTTTCTTCAACAACCAACTCCAACCTCTTGCTGAGTTCTGTAACCCTACTGCTCCCAGGAAGAATGGTAGATCATGTGGGTCCTCTAGCCTTGATCTCTTCGTAGCCACACTGCTTGAGGGTAACAACATCCAAGACATCATTGTGATTTCCAAACTTAAACTCAGATAAGGCAATCTTGAGATTGTCAAATAACTCAGTCAACATGAACCCATATGGCATAGCATGCATTGGTTTGGAGGTATCTGTAGCTCTTACCCTGAATCATCAGTCTAGGAAGATTGATAGGTCGACCAGTGTCAAGTAGTTCCATCACAGCCATGTCTAGCAGAGTAGCTTCATGCTTTCTCTCAGACCTCTGAAGAATGCAGGAGTTGACAAACTGAAACAATAGCTTGTGAAAGGGAGTCATATCAGTCTTGTACACTTTCTAGGGAGCATCTAGTTCAAACTTTTGGGAGAAATTCCTGGTGACCACAATGCCAATGTCAACATCATTGTCTATGGTTGGCCACTTCTTATTCAAATAATTGTCAAATCCCAAAGAAGGGATATTCAGAAGCAGCCCCAGTTCCTCAGCATCGAATTCCATGTCAAAGTCCCCTACTTTACTCTTGACTACCTTCCCATCAAAAGTGAAATTTGTGTAGAACTCCACCACAGTAGGAACACATACTGGGGAAA